GAACAGCCACAAACACAGAGCCTTCTCTCTTTCTGTCAGTTTTCTATGTAACCAGTACAGGTGCTGGGGGTGTCTACTGGGAGGGAAATACAAGTAGGATTATCCGTGATCAGTGACAACAGTCTCCACGGTCACTTGCACACATGGGCAACGCAAGGCGGATCTACTTATGCAACAAGTGCCCCAAAAAAGGGAACTTTTACAATGTGGTCAGCACATAGTTCTTTTAACAAGAGGGATTTTAAGCTATAACCTTACTTTTTTAGTACACGGTTCAGATGGAGAGAGAAGTGTTGTTCAACATCTGCCTACACACACAACGTCAAGGGTGTGAGTGACTGTGTTTGTGTAGGGAAGAGGAATATATCTGAAGCTATATTTGAAAAACTCCATTAGCCGGCTAAATCATTGTTGGACATATTTGTTGTGTGCTGGAAAACCTCATTGCTCAAGAGCTGGAGCTGTGAGTTAGGAAATCCTGATCTAGTGACAAAGGGAATGTGAAAGCCCCTATAGAGCGCCTCATCCTATAGATGACCTAGGAAAGGAAACAGGTTAGGCAAGATAAACCCTATGGTGTTCTGTTCCTGGGATGCTGGTCAAACAGACATCACAAACAAGCAAAACACACAGCAGTACCTGAGAGCAACTTTAACCGCCTCTGTGCAATTACATTATGGATTAATAAACAGCGCAACAACTTAATGAAACAATAATCACATTTAACAGCACTGGTTGGACAACTTAATTTGAACTGCACAATCTCAAGACAATTGTAATGCTTTGCTAATTTTGTTTTACTTATTAGAATATTACACAACATCCCCAGTTAGACACTTGGCTAGGAAGTTGTCTCATGAGTGTTAACACATCGGTTAATACCAAGTCACTTTAAATGGCTGTGACACTAATACGCCGAGAAGATACGGGGACAGAATGGGATTATGACAGGACTCGAGCTATTTCTCTTGAGCATGCTCCTGTACAAAAGCATTGATCAAAATCAAACTGTTCAGGAAATAAAATGTAATTGAAGTCAATGGCAATAATTTAGTCAAAACATGTTGGTTGTCAACTTATTGATACAATCCGTGTGTCTTTTTCAGACCTCAAACATACCTTGGAGTCTGTTAAATATAAGCAAATAGTCATTGAGTTATATTCTTACTTGACTAATTGCCCTATCCTTGAAGAGCACCTGATCATTTACATCAACACCACATTTTTGACACAGTACAGCAGCCGCACACAATTTGATCTTGTTTATTGTTTGCCTCTTGGGTAGTATACACCAGAAAGAATAAGAAGAAAGATGGAAACTGTTTCAAAGAAATTCCCAAAATGTGTTACTCCAGCCACAAATGCACAAACACCATACTCAGCTGAAGTCTAGGCACTAAAGTTAAAGTCTACATGGGGAGAAAATATGTATGTGGTGAGCTATCATTACTGACAATTAAAATGGCTAGAAATATGCACCCTCACACAAACTCCCAAGTTCACAAGCACACTTTCTCCAGTGTTGCTGATGTCAACAGCCTAAACTAGCATACCCTAAGCTTATTAAGACCCGACAGTTGCTGACTGTGGCGGCATGACACACACAGGATATGTTCTGCTGTGCATATCTGACACTACAGCTGAAAGATCTCTAGATGAGCAGATACATCAGTCTCACAGTGATAAACAGAGAACAAGACTTCACGCAACAGCCTTTTACGACCAGCCTCCCGATAGAGAGCCCCTTTCTGCCTAAAGAGACTGCTGCCTTGGTAACCTTTGGATTACAGAAAGGAGTGCATTCCCTGTTTCTACTGGGATGTGTGAGAGCTGGCACAGAGGAGTGAGAAGCCGACAGCAGCACGCTAAAAAGGGTTTGCATTACTAATGAAGTCTGTGCGTGTGGTTGCATGGTCATTAGTTGGTGGGAAAGTGAAAAAGTGCACCAAGGTGTAAGCAGGCAAGCACCAAGGTGTAAGCAGGCAAACACCTGATATGCAATCAAATAAAGCTGTTCCAAGGGATGATGTCTCATTTGTCCATTTAAGTTTGAGTTCAATTATCCTTTGGACACATCCTTTGGCGGGAGAGCAAAACTTTGTTCTGACGTAACTGTGTTTTTTATTTTCTCTACAAAATCTGCTTGATCTCTTTCGGAAATAATCGTATCTTGGTCTGGGATTTGGAGTATTTAACATTGTCTGACTCAGTGAGCTAGTATTTTTCCTGTTTATCTTTTGTTATGCTCAATAAAACATGAGAATTAAAATATGTTTGAGGATACGATCATTACCGTTTAGTCTCCCAAAAAACTAAATCATCTCATTGTCAGTAAAAGTGACAGTGAGTGGTCATCATAAAGAAATGACCAGTAGAGAAAGACACAACAGGCAGCAGGCCACGTTGCTGCCCCCGAGTCGATCTTGTTAAAGGTGGCATGTTGGCGGACCAGGTAATCCTATTATTCTAAACCCTGAATATTGTTACCTGCGCCATGAGTCTGAGATTTAAAAAAGTCGTGACACAGTTCATCTACCAGATGTCACATCTTACTGCAGGTACAGTTAAGAGGAAGTACACACATAATGCAACTTATTTACATTGTAGAAAGCAACAATGGATATGTTAAATCTGTTGATTTTTAAGTAATAATGTTACACTGAGGTTTTCACCATACTGTTGAGTCTTGTTTTGGATCCTGTAATGTGTGACATTCATTGGTTAATTGAAAGAAACGTGTTTAATACCACTCATTTCTTTTTAAAACGTTCATTAATAATAACAAATATTTGGATTTGTTTTCACAAATGATGATAAATGCTTGTTTTCTTATTCATACAATAATATATTAAATAATTCTATTTTCAACTAGGTGTCGTAGACTGGCTAACCAATCTTTTAACATCATTTTAGCCTCGTCTTGCTGATGATTTGAAACCATTTTCCAGATAATTACCTCGAGTAAAACATTACTAATTGAGGAACAATTCAAGGTTGAAAGCATAAACTGCAGGGAAATAACTTTTTTTTTATTTGAACTGATGTGAAAAAATGGAGCCTTGTTCCTTTTACATATTGTTGGTCAACAATAACGTTACCAGCCTTCAGATAAGTAACGCTTTCTATCAAAGCCCATGTTCAGTGGTTCGGGTTAGCTAGCCATGTTGCTATTCCACAGCTGGCTAGTTAGCCTACTTAAACCCATTTGAAACAACACACATAAACCAGTCATGTCAAGCACCGACAAAACCCATGCAAAGGTTAAAAGGCAACTGTCCATCACAGCCACCCTGTAACTAGCTGAGTGTTAGCTGTGTAGCAGAGGAGACTCATGCCCCTCAACATTGATGACTGAATCATATTATGCGGCAAAACACTCGTTCAGAGCGACGTGACGGACAGGAATATAATCACAAAACATGGTTCAATTGTTGATACAACTGTCATGTCATAACTAATGTCAATGTCGATGTCGGACTTAGCTTACCAGCACAGGAGAGCTACAATGAGGCACACCAACAAAACGCGCAGCCTCTTCATTATCTTCCCGCGGGGACCAACATCCTCGCTCTTTGAGGTTTTGTCTTATCTCACTCTTCTACACAATAAACCAAAGACAAGCTGTTTTTGTTGGCTGGGGCCCTGTGTTAATTAGAAAGGCGTAAACGACTGTCTTCTGTGGCTAAAACGCTCACGAGATGTATGCTAATTGTCATTGTGCGGACCAGTTGTCCGCTTCTTTTTCAGCTTGCGACTGCTGTAAATGGGTCGCTGTTCGTCGGTAAATTCAACCCCTGCTCCACGTCCGACCAATCAAATCAGAGCTCAGCATGTGTCAACCAATCACAGAGCACGTAGCAACATCGTGGTTTCAACAACACACCCCCTGGACTGATGAGTAAGAAGTAAGTGAGTGACTGTTCTGTGGAGCCGGACGCGTCACCGATATCTTGATAAGCAAATCATATTTTTCAGTTATTGCTCAATCTTCTGATGTCAAACTTTGCAATAAGTGACTAATGCTGATACCTGTGTTGTTTGTAAGGGCAATGTATATGCAACTAGTCCAAATCACTTGATGAGGTATGTGCGGAGGAATCTGTACACTGTGTACTTTTTGCCTCATAGCCTTAAAAACGTCATATTGTACATACATACCTCAAAACATCCTGAAAGGGATTACAAAATATATATAGCCATTTGTTATTAGAGCTCAACCCTCACTGAAATAAATCTTAACATTATTGTTCAATCTGTATTGTGTATTTCTCATATAAACATGTATCAGTATATGTTAACCTTCTAGTTTTCAGTTTCAGTGTTGTTGTTTTTATGTTGACCATATCCACGTGCCATTCAGGTGAAGAGTGGAAAGAGGGATATTTTTTAAAGTTCAACAAAAATATTATTCGCCCCTCCATTCTTCGAAATAACCCCTCCTCCATTTCCCATATGTCTCCCACAACATGATTTGCATTGGAGAAATGTCATAATATGTGGATAATATAGATAAACATGAGTACCGTTTTTGTTTACTAATGTACAAATTCTCCATGTCCAGTATCACAGATGTACCAGATGTATGTTGATGCTGATGTTTTTTTGGTATACTTAATTTAAAAATGTTTATCAAAATGTAATCACACATTTATATTTAAAGCCAATCCTCTAACTTTTTAAAATGTATTACTTGCAAACTGTAGCTAAAACATAGGATCTAATTTATGTTATTTTACTCATAGACTGTATATATAAGGATTTTACTCCATCGTTTTATCAACTTACCCCACATGGCATAGATAAACTACGTATCCCAGAGTGCAACTTGAGAAGAGCCCTAAACATCTGCCTGCAATTTTGTTGTTGTATCTAATTTAGATCTAGTGATGACAAATAATCTAATCCAAAGTAAACCCAATAAAACAGAATGAATCCGTTGTTGTTTGAAGTAAAACTAAATATATGTTTTTTGTTTTGATCAGGCAGGGTCCTTAGCGTTGCCCCGTCAATTGATATCCAGAACATTTTATCAGAAGTTAGTTTGCGTTACTAGCCTCTCCTTCACTCACTCATCTTTTAAGATCCTGTAACACCTTTTTTTCCCCCTCTTTTGGACGTGTAGACAGGCGGCCTTGGCTATGGCGGTAGGCCGGGTGATTGCGTGTGCCCTGTCCGTGTTTGTCGCTCTGTTTTCGGACAGGTTTGTGCTGGTGGCTTCCTTCTCTCAGTCTATGGACAGCGACTTCACTTTTACTCTAGCCGCCGGTCGCAAGGAGTGTTTCTTCCAGACTATGAAGAAGGATGCCTCACTGGAAATTGAATACCAGGTGATATACACTCTCTTAATTACAATTATACTGTAATACATTGTAACGTAAGCGGAGCAAACCACCTATTTATGTCTGGATTGTGCCAATTCAATGATAACCCCTGAGCCTGAGTCAACATTGACATAACATTACACTTTTAATATGGTACTGTTATCGTTTCCTGCATGTTTTGGGCCTCATTTACAGGTTTCATTAATGCAAACCACTTATAAATGACCATATAATGTATATGAGAAAGAGAGCCAACAGGTTATGTAGCTCACACCTCTATGTTCATTTGGCTGGGAACCTGTTTTGTCTGTTAGTATACACAGTGTACTACACTGCGTGAGTCTGACTCTCTGGTGGTTGTAGTAGTTAGGTGATGTCAGGGATTTTACATAAATTGCCTGTGGGAGACATGCCGAGCATTATACACGTCATTTGTAGTGTCTACCCTGGAGCACAAGGTAGAATAAAGGGAGGCCTAGATAGAGAAACTAGTGCTCCCCACATTTAATATACTGATACTAAGATTCATTGATTGAAGTTAATAATAACCCACATATAATCTTTCAGTATTGTTTTTATGTCTCAGTTTTCAAAATGTACTCTGTCCCATTAACTTTCAAGTGTGATGTCCTACATTTTCCACAGGTTTTAGATGGAGCAGGTCTCGATGTAGATTTCTTAATTTCCTCTCCTTCTGGTCAAGTGCTGTTCAGTGACTACCACAAGTCCGATGGAGTACACACGTGAGTTACATAGGTGATCTTGACATGACTGACACAGACCCATGTGTAAGCTCTTACTACCTGTGTTTCCCTCCAGTGTTGAGACTGTGGATGGAGACTACATGTTCTGCTTCGACAACACATTCAGCTCTGTCTCCGAGAAGCTCATCTTCTTTGAGTTGATCCTGGACAACATGGAAACAGAAGAAGAACAAGACGACTGGAAGGCGTACGTCCAGGGAACCGACATACTGGACATGAAGCTGGAAGACATAATGGTGAGGGTGGAGAGATAGACCATGTGTTATGTATTAAATATTTAACTTGACATGCATATTCAAATAGATAATTGTACAAAAGGTTTGTTTGTGTTGAACGTCCTTAGCATGAATGGCACTAGTGAGAAGTTGATTCAAAGTGTTGTTTTATTCTTACCGGGTGTTTCAGACTTTGTCCCTCTCTTGTTTGCTATGATATTGTCACTGTGCCACCTATGCTCTAAAGATGACATAGGAGGTGCAAAGTGACCCAACAGGCGGTCGATACAATGGCATGCAGTCTAACATATAAATGCTGAGGGTAGTTCCACCAAGCTGCACTGCACAGCAAGGTAAAATGTTTATCTTGATGACGGCTGCAGCTATTTTCAGATCACTGTGACTCTTTCTGTTAGTTCCACCCTTTCCTGCAGTATTTCTGGCTGATCTACTAACCAAATAGAGCAACACATGTCCATATCTGGTTGAGTAGACCTGCTTTCTAATGAATTTCCTGTAACTTGGTGGCCCATTGTTTTTTCTTTTGCTTTGCAAGTGGATAGCTACTAATGTCAAGCAGCAACAAACCCTAAACTCAAAATCCCAAAGCTACAAAAGTACTGAAGGTTGAACACCGTTATAAAATAGCTTTGTCTGTAGTCTCTAGTACATGACTGCATCAGTAAGCTGTAGTGAGGAAACACATGTTGGCACAGCACTGCTAAAATCAGACCAAACTGGGTGCATGGAAAAACCCTTACACATGCAAAGTCACAAGGAGTGTCCCAAGAATAGACATCGTCATGAACCCTCACCTATTGGCTAAGGACAGCCAATTGTCTCAGCTTGCGCCACAAAAGCCTGCAACACCTCTTCAACAGGAACTGCCGTAATTTGTGTCAGAAGTCCCTTAAGCCTCACTCAAAAGACAGGAAATGTATCCTCCAGCTGTGCAGGAAGTTGATTTCCCATATAATTAGGGAACATACCTAACCAATCAATCAATCAATCAATGTTTATTTATATAGCCCAATATCACAAATGTTACATTTGTCTCAGTGGACTTTACAGTTTGTACAAAATATCAGTATGACAATACGACACCCTCTGTCCTTAGACCCTCACATCGTACAAGGAAAAACTTCTGGTGAAAACCCACAGTTTAAAGGGAAAAATGGGAGAAACCTCAGGGAGAGCAACAGAGGAGGGATCCCTCTCCCAGGACGGACAGACGTGCAATAGATGCCGTGTGTAAATTGAAAAGATAATACATTTGCAACATAGGTAGTCCAAATGTTTGGAAATGCATGTGTGTATAATAGGAAGATGAATCCACGAGGATATGCCATCCAGGACCTATGATCCAGGACCACAGCCACGACTCAAGATCCAGGGCTCAGCGATCCAGGACAGAGGAGCGCAGGATCATCCATGACTCCGGATCCCGGCGTATATAGACACCAAAAAGAAAGACATTTGGGGAAGCTGGGTTAATCGGAACATGAGAGTACACAGGTATAGACAGAGAGAAGGAAGAAGTAAGATGTCCCCCGACAAACTAAGCCTATATCAGCAAAACTAGGGGCTGGATCTAATCAGCCCTAACTATAAGCTTTATCAAAAAGGAAGGTCTTAAGCGCACTCTTAAAAACGGATAGGGTGTCTGCCGCCCGAACACAAACTGGAAGCTGATTCCACAAATGTGGAGCTTGATAAGAAACTAACTGATTTAAAGTTCCTATAGAGATCTGACTCTTATTTCAATCACTCTGCTTTGTAAGTCTGTACGTTTTTAAAGATTTTAGTGTCATGGAGAATTCATGTTGAAAGTCTTCAGATTCTGTCACCCTGACCTGTGTGTCTCCTCTCCTCCAGGACACCATCAACAACGTGAAGGCTCGGCTGGGCAAGAGTGTGCACATCCAGACGGTGCTGCGTGCGTTCGAGGCTCGCGACAGAAACATCCAGGAGAGTAACTTTGACAGGGTTAACTTCTGGTCCATCACAAACCTTGTTGTTATGATGATGATAGCGGCGACCCAGGTCTACCTTGTCCGCTCACTGTTTGAAGATAAAAGGAAAATCCGCACATAACACCACCCCGAACGAAAAGACAGACAGAGAAACTAATGCCCTCAGACACCTTTGGGATTTTTTTTCAACTGGTTTCCTACTTTTAACACAAGATGTTCTATGCACCCACACATACACAAACAGACATTTTGTCTTATTAATAACAAAGGGTTGTTGCCCTGGTCCACTGGAGTTTAGTGGCCAGGATTCGCTGGTTTGGAACAGGAACTTTTAACTGTCGACCCCTCTGCTTTGCAAACTCCTCCATGCTACAGAAAAAGTCTCTTTGTCTCTCTCTTTTAAACTTGTATATTGTTTTATAGTCTTCCTTAGTGGCTGTAATTCTTTCAAAAAGTGACAAGCACAGCATAACAAGCATGTTTATGATATGAATATTTTTTTCTTACAGAGCCTAAAGTTAACAGGCCAGTGGCCAATTGCAAAAAATGTCCTCTTTGCCTCGGACATATTTGTATACGCGATAGACTAGATGAAGAAATTATCTAGTGGGAAGTACAATCAGTTAGACAGCAAGTCTTCCCTAGACAGATATTACTTTAATAAAGATACTGTTACAGAGAAGCCTCAGTTGTTTGTGATTAGCTGAGTGTTTCTTCCATTGCCTTGAACATTTTTGTTATATCTAGAAATTCAGACAGATTTTCCCTTTCATGCCAATACTGAAAGTCAGACATGCTCTTTAGCAATCAAGGGGCCATGGATGAAGGGGCCAAATCTCATTAAGACTTCTGCCCTCCTCTCATTTGCAATGATTTGTGGGCTTAATGGCAGCTAGCTCCACTCCTCCGCTGTGAAGCTCGGTGCTGCTGGCAGGTGTCTGCTTACAGCCACCTACTGTGTGGAGATGTGGAGTCTGCCTGTTTCTCTGGTGACTAAAGTCTATTTCTATCTTCCCGACACCTGGAAGGGCATTACCACTACTTTATCGGTGCACTGCTCAGTTCCTTATGCACGGGCCACTTACTGCCTTGGCTACGTCAGCGTTCTTTTAAAAATATATCTGTGAATTATTTTGGATATTTACAATTTATTAGCCACCATTACAAGCTATCTGATCATTGCACTGCCTCTGATGCCACAGAACAACTTGTGTTTTGTATTCATATTCTTTAGAGCATTATCTGTGGGCCCCAAAGTGTGTTTTTACAATAATGGGGGGCCAATCAGAAACCGGTCCACAACGTGTTCTGATGTGTGAGTGAAGGAAGCAGCTCTAGAGATTTGTCTGTCATTGGTTAAAAGAAGAATGAAGTATTAAGACACTGCTGTGGATTTTCAAAATGGTTGCTGAGAGAATTTGTTTTATTGTTAATTCTGAGCTTCACAGGTGAAACTTGGTAACCCACTACCCTCCTGGAAGCTTCATGTTGCCATCTTCTGATTTAACCTGAGCTGTAAGATAAAGAACACACAGTGAGTTCATGCCTAGTTCAACAGCCTTAAGTTGAAAGTAAGACAGTTTTTACACAGTTTTGCCGTACATGTTGTTTCTCCCTGCAATAACAAATGTGATGCCTTTTGAGTGTAAGAAAATAATCATCCTATGCCTTTGTTTAAGTGCGTTCAACCATTCATTGTTATTCTGCCCGCCATTATCTCACTGTGGTTTGCAGTTTTTAATTTAAAAGTATGTAGTGTTGGATTTTAATGTGCTTCCGAGTTCTGCAAAAATAAAGAAAACAAATATTTGTATGTTACTGAGAAGAAGAGTGTCAAAAGTTTCTGGTTCAACTTTAGAACTGAGTATTTTTTACTACCCCGAAGGAGAGGTGGAGTTGGAGGGAATGTGACGTGAAAACAAATATTTATTCAACTTATGTCCTGTAGTTGTAAATGTGTATAAATTAAACAAATAAAACAGTCATACCTTTTTCTGACTCCTGTGTTCCACTATGTTTAAACATGTTGGTTATTGTAACGTTAGAGACATCCTATCAAACTTTTGTGTAGATACCTGTAGCGGAGCTGGAGCTTCTTCAGCATACAGCAGTTCAGACGAAGTGGAAGTGACCAAATTATTTAGCTTTGGCACATTTTGGTTTCTTTTTGTGCATCTCGAGGTGCAGAGCTCTGATGATGAGACACTCCTTCAGTGCAGAGACCGAGCCCCCCGCCATGCACAGCGGATGCAGCCTAGGAGAACTGAAAAAAGAGAAAGTGGTTTGGGGCTTGTTTTCCTAACAATTTTACACTTTGATTCAAATACAGGCACTTACTGGCCTATCAGACGCTGTGTGGATGACCCAATTCTTCTGGAAACCTGGTCTCCCTTTACACATGATATCATCAACTAAAATCAACGATGGGTGATATGTAAGAGACAACGAAGCGTCAGTTAACATCTGTAAGAAAATGTAGGCTAAGCCATTGTAAGAAATGTGCTTGTTCTATCTTCTAAATTGAAATGCAAGGTTAAAATTAGGTTCCCAACCATGGTTTCTTTCAGTAGGAAGAATTTACCATGGTGCTTGGTGTTTGTGGCTCCTTTGACTCCGACCTGTGAGGTTTACAGGCGGCCTGTATTGTCACAAAGGAGACGGAGGCCTTGGGTGGCCTTTCCACTGAGTTGCTCCTGTTTGAAAGAATATAGATGAGGGTTATCGAAGAGTACCACACTCAATATGACACAAACCTTCAGTGACATGTGAACAAGTTATACATTACATTTTTGCAGACTTCAGGGTCTGTTGGTCAGAGAAGGGGCCACGAATATCCAACACCGCCACCTTGTCAAACAAAAACAAAAGGAGGACATTTTTGGTATGCAAAGTGAGGATGATCAACTTTCTAGGGCACAGTCAAATGACCTGCCTCATGAAAAACACTGGATCAGATTTACACTACATTTAGAAAAGATAAGATTGGCACCATGAAGACCTAGGAAGGATTTTAGCAGTGTTTAACAACCAGTCATTAAATGTGTGTTTTAGCAGGGCTCCCTGAGGTTGTAGTATTGTGTTTTAAACTTTTCCCATAGAATTTGCTTGCAAGCTTGTGCAAAAAAATCTTGATTATTTTTGTTGTTTTATGTTTGTGTTTTTTTTAATGGAGGCATCATTATATTGTTTTATCATACTTGATTTCATTTGTCTGTTTCCGCGAAAAAATACACGTATTTTTATTTATTTTCATGTTAAAACAAATAAACGAAGTGTAACAAATATGAAGTTGTTTATTTGTATATTGTGTACTCAATAGATATACTCTAAATACATATATCTTAAACTATTGATATGTATATATTCACTGTTTTGTTTATCTTCTACAGTGGATATGTATATCTTTACTGTTTTTTAATTTTCTATTTTATTTATTTTGCATTAGAATCAATAAAAATATATCTAATCTAATAAAATCTAAATCATCAGTATACATTTGACAGATGCTGTTGTGTTTTCTCTGATGATCCACCCACAGGGGGCGTCTCTGGCAGAGAGCTCTCATAAAGTGCTCACTGCTCACTTATCTTCCGGCTTTGTGACAGAATGAGATTGTAGCATCAGCGCTGAACAGAATCCCAGCTCAAGTAGGTGGAAAACCTTTAGAGATGTGTGTGGAGACTGTTAAACTCAATCATCAATGTATTCGTGTTCATAAACACACATGTACGTCTGGTATATGTGTGCTTTTATTATCGTGCTACAGCCGGAAGTACCGATAGTTTCATGCTAGCAGCAGAGCAGCACTGGTTGCCAGTGAAAAGTTAAAACCCTGTTATCATCCCATTCTTAATTAAATCAATACATTAGATACAGAAATTACATGACACATAACTCATTAGTTTACAAGCCAACATTTGAAAAAAACAACCTTTGATTCATCTGTTAAACGTTGACGTCCACCTGCTACAATGAGCAATAATTCCCTTGTAAAATAGTATCTGACCTTATCATAACGCACAAGACGCACTCAAAAGATCCAGTGTGTAGGATTCTGTAGCATCTAATCTAACTAGATTCCTTAATTTAAATCTTGATTTGTTTGACCACAAATTAAAACCTTTATTACCTCTTTATTATTTAGGCATTTCAAATGTAGTTTAATTGTTTAGCAGATCCAGAGAGATCCAGATTCCCTTTTGTCTATTCTTTACTATCCATACATGTTCTTTTATTAAAATACTTTATTATTATGGAATCATTACTGTATTTGCTGTTTATAATGAAAACTGTAAAATGTATACCGCATGTAATACATATATTGATTTGTATTCTTTCTCAATATATTCACAATAACAACGATACTTAGTTTCAGGTGATTGCGCAATAATGAAAGCATAATAATATGTGTCATATTAAGAGGATATTGAGCTGGGGATATGTACAATTATTGCTCATAAATGTGACTGTGTTTATGTGTGTGTGATCAGGGTGATGGGGCCTGACGGAGCCCCGGGTCCAGCTGTGCCCTGGAGGAAGGTGCTGTGGGAGCGGCAGCCGTTCCCTGACAACTATGTGGACCAGCGTTTCCTGGAGGAACTACGCAGGAATGAGGGCATCCGACAGTACCGATACTGGACTGTGGTGAAAGAGGCAGGCTTTGTCGGAGAGCAGCTGTCCTGTGTGGCCATTTTTATCACCCTCTGGCTCTACATGGAGCAGGTAAAGCTTTAGAAAACTGTCTCGTAGAACACACTGTGCCTTAAGGGATAGTTCAGATTTTGGAGTGGAGTTGTATAAGGTACGAAGTCATAGTCACTGTTTTACCTAACGTAGATGGTGGCTGGCAAGAAACAGGCAGCTGTGCCGGCACGGGGAGCTAAGCAAAGTACTGCTGTGGACACGGGCAGCAGCAAAATGTATTTAAGGCACGAAAGAAAAAAATAAGTTGAAGTGTACAATATATTTTTAATATTTTCAAAGCTTTACCTTGCTGACAGACAGCCCTTTCACATGGGGACCTGAATGTTGAGACTGTTGTGTTTTAAAGAGTAAGTTTGAATTTCCAAAGTCACACAATAACACAAACAAATATTGCGACAAACCTTTATGGATGGATATCTACTGTAGGTAATATAACTCCTCTTAAAAATACTGAACTATCACCTTCCTGAATAAATAAATAAATACAATAATTATACATTTATGTTGTGCTTTCCTCCCAGGGTCAGCTGTCCCCTGAGAGGCTGTTATGGAGCAGCCTTATCTGCGCTCTGCTGGGTTACGGACTGCACCAAGCCCTGACGTCTCAAGTGCAGTCGGGCTGTGAGCCGCGGACCCGTCTAGCTGACTTACAGAGTGCCACTATTTTTCTTTCCTTTACCTTTGGCTTCTCGCCAGTTCTGAAGACACTAACAGAGTCTGTGAGTACCGACACAGTGTACGCCATGTCTGCCATGATGCTGCTTGCCCACCTGGTGTCGTTCCCTTACGCCCAGCCCTCCCCCCCAGGCAGCCTCTCCCTGAATGCAGCCCTGTTTGCCTCTGTGTGTTTGGCCTCGAGGTTACCTGGGGCTCTGCACACCTTCGCCATGCTCAGCTGTGCCCTGCTGGTGTTTGCCCTGTGGCCCTGCCTGCTGCAGAGGCTCAGGGAGAAAGCCCCGAGCCACTTCACAGGGGTGTGTGTAGGAGTGTGTTTCGCGGGAGTGGGTGGTCTGGGGTCCCAATGGCCAGGGGGGGCTGTGCTCTTAGCCCTGGCCTTAGGGAGCGTTACATTACTCTGCCCCCTGCTGCTAGTCAGACTGCAGAGGCACAAGGACAACATCCAAGGACCCTGGGATGAGGCTGAGATTCAAGAGGATCTCAGTCACTTCCTTCACTAATGGACACAGCAGAGATAAGCACACAGGTGTATAGCTGACATTTAAAGCTGCAAGACAACTGAGAATTGTATATGGATAACTGTCAGTATGCAGTATTATGCTGCTGCTTTCAACTGACAAATGTTAACTTTGGTCCACATCTGACAGCCATTACAACTTTTTATACTTTTACAGTGAAAACTAAGATGTTTTTAATGCTGCTACTGTCTTTAAAGTGTTGATCTCAGACATGTAATGGAAGATATCAACTGACATGCAATGGTAACTTACATTACTGGATATTCCAGTTTTGCTTGCAGCAATTTAATACAAGTGATATTTTAATATATGTGGGGGATTTTTCTATGTTTTTATAGATTGTGTACAGTTTGATGTTGTTAATAAATGGACAGATCCAACGTGTTTAACCCAGGGAATTGCAAAATATGTTACAATGAAACATTTGAAGTTAAAATGAAGGGCAATAAAGAAAGTTTAACCCTGTGTGAGTTCTTTTAATACAGTTCTAAGGAATTATCAGAAGTTTATTTTACATGGACAGCAGGTTACAAATGTTGATCTAGAGCTGAAAGAATTAATCCATTAGTCGATAAACGGGAGAAAAAAGTATTTTCATAACCGATTGTTTTAGTAATTCTTCGTGCACAAATATTGATACACTGCCATTATTCTCTGATTACAGCCTCAACTGAGATGATTTATTACCCTTCTTTGTCATAAAACAAGGATTTAAGTATATATCGGGAATATATAAGACATTAAAAGATGTCATGTTTGGCTCTGTGACTTTGTGATGGTCATATCATAGATTAAATGAATTAATTTGATTAATTGAAAAAAAAGATTGCCAGATTATTCCATAAGGAAAAATGTCAATTCACAGCCCTAATGAAATGCAAGCCGTAACTATATTTTCAGTTTTGTAATATTTTCCAGTTTTTTCTTCCAAATGTGAGTAACACAAAAATGTCTTCCATTTCCGGTCACACCCCGCAGTGACGTCACGTTGCCGGTTAATGAAAACCACCTGTTGCATTTTTCGTGCTGCTTTACAATACAAACCTCAGCCCACAGAGAGCAGTAGTGCTCTGCTTTGACACACTAACTATTTAATTTAGAAGAATAGTAACACGTTTCACCTCCATGTCGCTAACTTATTTTTGATCAACATCCAATGTGAAGAAGACTGGAACTGTAGTAACCTTTGTTTATTTTTGTTTTTGTTTGAATATCAGCTAACGTTAGGTTACAAGACAAAACGCTATGTTTTTCTTTTGATTATGGCTTTCCTTTACACAACATAACAACTCACTACAAATACAAATAATTGTTAAGGTTACTATTTGTGAAACAATGTCATGAGTGACGAGTACAGTTTGATACTAGAGATGAATGGAATGGAATGGAGCTTTACGTGCAGTAAAACAGTATGTGTGATGGACGCTAGGTGTCATACCTTCGCCTCTCCTCTCCCCGGCTTGTTTTGAAATGTTACAGCGGGCCTTGCTCTGGGTTTTGCCCGCTGTGGTGGCGCCATTTATCCGCAGATGAAGCCCCACTTTGACACACAGTTCAGCCGCGCTGCCGGTGACTCTGCGTCCTCCCTTCCCCTCAGAGAACCGCACTTCCACAAACAAGCAAAGGAAGCTTTTGTAGGTTCCTTTGGAAGTGCGTCGTAGTAACCCCGCGTCACAGTCCAGGTTTGCCAGAATACATTTTTGGGTATATGTAGATAATGAGTTCTAAAGTTTTTATTTGATAAGGTTTTATTTACATTGATTGGAGGCTAAATGGATATTGGTAATAAGACACCAAAATCAATTCAATGTCAGGGGCCACTGTATAATAAGCCAAAACTACCACTTTTAAACCTTGAATAGGCGCTTTGGACACTAAACAAGAAACATATCTTTGGTAGGCTAGCTCAGATTCAATTTCTTATCCCACAGAGAAATTATTTTTGGTCCAGTTGTCCAGACATAACGAAACAATGAAGTCCAAAATAAAAAACAATAGAATTAGGCTACTTTAAAACACATTCATACTCATAATAAAACACATTCGATCCCATTGAGACTGAGACAGAATACACAATAAGGACAAATAAAATCCCCATCCAATATAAAGAAATCTAAAACATCATATAAACGTGCAAAATAATTCTTGATAAAGCTGTATATTACGGTTTGATAAAATAGTATTTTATTATGTCTCTTTCACCAGGGCCGGGTTGCTTTTGAGACTGCAGTTGGAGTCGAGGGGTAAACTATCCTGTAAGATTTTTGTTCCTGTTTTAGTTGGATGAGTTGTAGGCTACTGCCTGTTTCTTGGTCAATGCACTAGGTTTTCCCCACTATACTGAATTGTAGTTGGAGCCTGTCTTGGCCCTTTTTCGTGCACTGATTATGAAATACACACAAACGAAACAAATACAGAACTCTGTAAAAGAACATTAGTAGAATATCACAGTTCACATTATTATTGTAAGGCTTGCAAAAAGTTCATTCTCTTTGCAATTTCTTAAATGTTTAAAGTGGCGTAGTCCCCAACATTAAGTTTATTTATCTACATTTGGAGCAGAAATACCAACTCATAATATTTCATCTTAAACATTATCCGATTAATTCTTGTCAAGGAAAATAGTGTTTGATTGTGACATTGAAATTAAGCTGTAATTATTATGCAGTGGCCCCTTACACCAACCACAAGGGCCTCTATACATCTTTTGACCGTAGTTAGCAAACTGCTGGCATACACGACCGCTGTAAAGTGATTTGGCAAAGTAGAAATACCACAGATAAAAACAATCTGTAACAAAGTGTTAGAATTGATTACTGCCACAGAAAACCTAAAATAAGAGAAACCAGGATTCATGTTCAAAAATATAACCTGTTTATTTAAAAACATTGAAAATAGTGCATGTGCGTTCTGTTTAGGTAGAATAACTCAAATTTGGTATTTCTATTTACACAAGGTTCAGGCACTCTTGGAAAGTAGGCAGACAGACGAGCACATTCCGGCATTTATGGCCAATGGTATTATGTACAAAACAGGCCGCTCAAGACTCAGTGAATTAGCAGACGGCAGCTCCCAGAGGAGAGAAGCCCAGCAGAGCTTCAGCTGGAGGACACATCACAAAGGGCAGAGGTCTCTGAGCAGCAGCGAGCTGAGGTTTAGAGGATCACTGGTATCGATGGGTAATGGAGTTCTGAGTAGAAAATACTGTTATTTCACATTTGGGATAGCTGGAAGATGCCTCCTGGAGAGAAGATCAGATTAAATATATTAATATAATGTTGAATATAATATAACAAGATTACCAAAACACACAGTATTGCATACTACAGTCCAGAAATATATTTTACAAGGAGTGACAAATGCAATATTGTGCCTTGTTCTTGTGAGTTGTTACGACCCACCATTGATGTGCTTGGTTCTACTTAAAGGCAGACAAAATAAATGTAATATAGAGATATTGTCTGATCCCTCATAAGTGTAGTTATACTGCAGCTAACTCTGCTGTTGCCAGGAAAAAACAACATTTCAAAATGTATAATAAAATGAATGAATAAAATAAAAATAAAGAAAGTACACATTTCTAACAAAAGTCTTTACTGCAGCTATACAAAAAAGAAAGGGAAATGGCCTTTACTTATCTGATGAGCTCTGGTCTCAAGGCTTACCATGAAACATGTAAAAACCTTTACATTAAAAAGTATATTGGTTTGGTAGTGTTTGAAAAAGAACAGAGAAAATGATTGGTGAATAACAGCTTGGAAATAATGGTTATATTACTGTTATCTGAGATAGCTATAATATACACAAGACAGCAGTTTGTTACAGAACAAAAAAGATTTCATGTGAAATTTGGAGATGAGCAAATCAAAATGTTGGAGCACTGTGTTTCAGGGTTCATTGTTCCCTCTCACATATTTCCTTGTACATATTTTTATTTGGCAATATTATTTTTAACTTGCTGTAATACTGCACCATATTAAGATTGTTAAACAATTCATGATCTCGTGGATTAACAGACATTACAGTGATTTTTTATAAATATAGTCTAGAAACAAAAATGATGCCCCCACATACTGTATCTCTATAGGGGAGACAGTCTGAGTAAGCAGAGAGGCATAAAGTAGGATGGAAAGAGTCAAAGGAAAGAGGGAGACCATGCGGGAAAGAACCTAAAGAACCATTGGAGAGCACAGAGGAAATGAGGCAGAGAGAAAAAGGAGAGACCGGCCAAAAGCAGGGGAGGAACCAGTGAAAGGGGAGAAATGTACGAGAAAAATAAGTGGGGGGGAAAAAGGGAAAATAACGGTTATTGCATGAGAGAAACTGGGGAAGGGCAATAAAACAAATTCATGCTAGGAGAAAGAGGGAAAAGGGGGGATGAAGCGCAGAGAGAAAGATGAAAACTTGACAGAGTGCTCAGCCTGTTGTCTCTGGCTCCAGTAGAAAGCTGCACAGAGAAGTCTACTGAGGCTGATGGGAAAGAGAATATGAGAAACACATTTTCCAGCAGACCCCCACCCAGCTCAAATAACAATTCCCTCTGCCCCTGTAGCGCAAGGTTTCATTGTGTGTACGTGAGCATGCATATAAGCCAGTGCATGTTTAATTGGCAGGCTGGAGGACATCATAAAGTAGCGAGGTTATGGCGTGGTTTCAGAGTCACCTTGGCACACTAGGTGGAGCACGGTGATGTTGCCTAGCGATCTGCTGAAGGCTGTCGGTGCTCTTGGAAGAAGCATTAGAGGGCACTCGAGGGACGGATGGGGCATGGCCTCGAACACGGACACTGGTCTTTTTAGGGAGTGTCGGGCTAGGTGGAGAAGAGAACTTTGAGTGACAGGTAGAGGTAGCACAGTTTTCTGAATGTACACTGAAAAACTGAAACTTTAATTGAATGTATTAAAGGTGGGGTAGGTAAGTTTCAGAAACCGGCTCGAGTGCACTAAAATTTGAAAGTACACAGCCGAAAAGAATCCGCCCCTTCCTTCAGACTTCCTTACAGAGCACCTCCTCCAACACACATGAATGCGCAATGCACGCCCAATGACGGCACGCCCAATGACGGCACGCCCAATGAGGGCACGAGATACATTTGTGCGTGCACGAGATGGAAGGCTGACAGACAGGGCGGCAATCCAATCCGTTTAGCCGCTCGGCTAAACGGATTGGGTTCCACAGATGACATTTTTTAATGGATTTTTTGTCAAAGCACTTAAGATATTCATTGCTATCGGGATGTTAAGAGCATTCCATGGAATATAACAAAAAGTGTATCTCGAGCCGGTTTCTGAAACTTACCATTTTGGAGAAACCAGCTTGAGTGCGCTAGAATTTGAAAATACACAACCGGAAAAAATCTGCCTCTTCCTTCAGACTTCCTTACAGAGCCCCTCCTCCAACACACACAAACGCGCACATGACCAATGAGGGCACGAGATAAGTTTGTGCACGAGATGGAAGGCTGA